TTTTTTTTTTTTTTGTAAATTATATATCTCTCTACCTCTACTATTATCTCAATCTCTATTTCAATTGTTATCTCTATTGTCCTCCATATATAAAATTCACGAATATGTCGAGCTTAAATAGTAGGCTCGGATGCTTCAGAGGTTTTTTGGCCTTAATTTGTACTCCGTATCGACACATGTACAAAATTGGTTTAACAACTAGGTTTGAGAATTACCATAAAATTATTTTACCTTCTTTTTCTTACTATATATTACCTTTCCTTTTTATAAATTATCATATACTACATTTTTTTTTTCTTATTTGATTCATATATTAATTATTACAAATATTAATTCTTCGTGTTTTAAAAATTTAACTTTTCATTTGTATATATATCTTTCTTCATATAAGATATATCAGAATAACCATATTTTAACAATTTTTCATTTGAATTCCATATTTCATATATAATATAAAAATAAATTTTTATGCCTTTATAAATAAAATTTAAATTTTTTTATCATACCAAATGAGAAATATCAAGTAAAAATATAAATTAATTCATAAAATATTAAAAAGTAAATTTATTAATATACCATAAACAATCATTTTAGTATATTATTTTTATAGATCTGGAAAAAAATGTGGAAATTGAATATTAAAATAAATGAATTTGTTCAAAAACTTACATCTAGACATAAATAAAGTATATATAGAGTCTGAACATTATTATGATGTTGTAACTAAAAAATACAAATGAGTATCATATTAAAAGTTAAAAAATGTATATAATTCATAAATTTTGAAAAAATTACATTTGCATAGAGTAATTTATATTTTAAATCATCAAATATTATAAATTTAAAACACTTAAAAAATTATTATATGAGAAATCAATTCTTCAAATACAAAATATGATTACAATATGATAAGGCTTTTAAATAAACTAAAAAAAATAATAATCAAAATTATGGTATTGTTGATCACATTTGCTTTGACATAGATAATTCAATAAATACGATTTAAATTTATTATTATTAAATAAATGTAGAACACGAGTTTCTCGTTAAATAATATCATTTTGTTAGTTTTTTATTGTTTACAATTTAACTATAAGATTATTTAATTCTTTATTCTTGTAAAAGTATCAATTTTTTTCAAGTACTCGTATACTACACGGATATCGTACAAATTATACATAAAGGAGTGAATATCCCTCCATTGTATGTTTTTTCTTAATTATTTTTTTCACCCTCTCTAAGAGCATCCACAATGCTTTGGGTCTAATTTTACATATGTGGCATATAAATAGACTTAAGTCCTAAATGACATGGACAAACCCAAGTAAAAAACTCAAAAGTTATTCAATGCAAAAATAAAATACTAGGTCTAGTATACATGACAACCAATAAAAATGCTCTAATATATTTCATTTATTAAAAGAAAAATTAAATGAAGACTAAATGATGAGTGCTTGGGTTTGCACTTGGGTCTAAAATAGACCCAAGTGTGGACTAGGTTTCTTTTTTTATTGCCACATAAGCTAGACTATGTCCACTTTTAATTGCATTGGGAAACACTTTTTTATAGACTAGGTCTATTTCCTACATGGCAAGTAATTTTTTCTGAGAGACCCAAAACATTGTGGGTGTTCTAATGCAAACAAAGTCGTTTGTTTCTTTTTAGATTTAAGAAAAAGGTCCTTTAAATACGCCTTTCGCCTCCCAAGTCCCAACCCTACCACCCCTCAATACCCTCTCCAACAACTGATTCGTTAGAGTATGCTGTAAAAGCTTTTTATTGCAGATTCTATCAATCCATTTTGATCTGACAATCAAGTTTTAGTCAAAGTATATATGCTTCAGTTTATTTATTGATGCAATCATACTGATTGTCTTACATTGAGATAGTATGGTTCGTGGTGTCTCGAACAGAAAGATCTCTATCGGTTCCTTGTAAGACTAAAATATACGTTCACAGTCTAGACAGACATTGAGACCCCTCTTGGAAAAATACTGTAGTGTAATTCGGATTCAGTTTGTCTATGACTGAAGGATTGCACTAGTACTTATGATAAGTATTGAACAGGACTGCGAAAGGATAAGATTATGAGACTTACTAATCATAGTTGTTATCTAGACCTTTGGTGATTGATGTGTTCTCTAAAGTCATAAGATAATATAAAACGGGCATATATATTCATTACGTGTTTATTTGATTTACCAATGGTGATTCATATTCCGTTAAGATGACATACTCGGTACTTTGGTAAATAAGGGTGTTTATAAAATGTGTTGTTATAAATTATTTATGGTCACTGTGTCCAATGCGCTAGTTGATGACGTCCCCGAAATGAGCTTAAGAAGGAATATTATGTCAAACCCTACAGGTGGATGTGTACCCAACATAATGGTTAAAGATCTGAGTGGTACTAGTTTCGGAAAAGAATAAGAAGTGGATTAATTAGTTTGTCAGTAATTTAATTAATCAACGGATGTTATATCTTAAACATATGGAGGTAAATCAGTCAATTAGAATAATATTAATTAATCATGTGGAGGTTCGAATTTATTGATTAATTGGAGCTAAATGGGGAGAGCAATAATATTACTCTAGTGGAATATTTTAAATTTTAATTTTATTAAGAATTAATTATATTCCATAATTAAGATTTCTTAAGGAGAGGAATATTCATTCTAGAATATTACATAGGGTAAGGAGACTATGGAGTCTTCTAGAAAGTAATTATGATTAGGAAGAATATTATCCTAGATGGGAAATGATATGGAACATGATTAGGTTTCCTAAACCTTATAGAATAAGCTCATATTTCGCAACTCCTTAAGGTCCCTAATGTAGCCTATGAATACACCATGTCCTGAACTCTCCCCTACACGTGTGTGCACACGATTTTAAGGTATTATGTAAGAGAGGAAAATCGAGCATCATTATATATTCCAGAGTTCGAAAGATCTAAAAAATCGCCCACCGAGATTTTTCAGAATAAGTGTTTAAGTAATACATTAGAAGGCTTTTGGATAATATTTATTCAAGCCTTTTATTCGTACAAAACCGGCCACCCTCTGCCGTCATCTACCACCACCTACCATCGCTAGAAATCGCCGCCGCCGGGGGAAGCTGCCAACGCCCAGCCGTGGGCTCCCAGCCGCAGCCGCACGCACTAGTCTTCGTGCCCAGTTCCAGCGACGTCTAGCGATGCTGCCAGCTCCAAAAGACCCCGTCTGCACGACGCGCGCCCTATTCCTCGCACGCCTAGAAAACGTGTAGTGCATGCCCTGGTCCCTTCGCCAGCGCCTAGTCCGCGTCGGCATAGGAGAGCCGCAGCTCACGCGCCTGACTTCCTCGTCAACTACGCACTCTAGCACCTGACGCCGCCAGCGCCTATTAGCCGCAACCCGCGCCCGCAGAACGACGTCGCACCTCTTGCCCATGTCCAGCCGAGACCATCAGTGTTTGGCATGAACCCTGGATCCTTGGCATTGATTCTAGGGTACTTGAAAAAACTGTAATGGGAGTGAGCAGAGTAAAATGGGTTGACGAGCTGATTCTAGAAGATGGAAGAACTTGGAATAGAAAGTTGATTGTTGAATGTTTTACTCAGATTAACTAGATCCTGATTTGATAGACAAATGGAGGTGGACTCTAGACACAAGGGTAAATTTTCAGTTGGCATTTCTTACTCTAAGTTTTGGTTTGTAAACTCAGAGAATTGGACATTGCTAAAAGTAGTGAAACTGCCAAGTGGGAGAAGAGGGTTAAAGGTAGAAGTTGGGCCTTAAGGATCAAACCCAAACTAAAGCATTTTGTTTGGAAACGTTATAATAACTCTTTACCTGTGAGCTTAAATTTGAAGCATAGAGGCTTAGACATTGATTCTTGGTGCCATGGATGTGAGAAGGAGATGGAGACTGTGGAACATGTCATTTTTCACTGCAACCGTGCTCAAAGGATTTAGAAGTTGGCTCCTGTTTGCTGGAATGAGATAGTTGTAACAAACTCCTTCATACAATGGTGGCGGAATGTATGGTCTGTGGATATGAGAGCAGTATCAGCGGCAAGGGTTGAGCTACCACATACATACTTTGGTGGTTATGGAAATTCAATAATCTCTGAAAATTCCAAAATGTGTGGATGCCGGATCGCGTGGAATTTGCAGACAGCAGGACTTCAAGGGATGATTAGTGATGAAGGAAAATGTTGCTTGGTCCTTAGGTTCAGTGGTGCATCTTTTTTCATCTTTGGATGTATTGTTTTATGTTCAGTTGTTATCTGAGATTATGTACTGGGTCTTATGTGTGTTGGCTGGTTTGGAGTAGGTAGAGGGCTCAGATATTACCGTCTATCTGCATATGTTTTCTCAAGTTTTATTGCTTGTGGGAGTCTAAAGTATGGGGATGGCCTCTGTGATTGTACTGACCGTATTGAGACTATCTAGTTTCTCGGCTTGTTTTTCTTGGTGTTGAATGAAGTTAATATCGTTTTTTTTTTTATTTTTTTTTTGAAAAAAAAAAAATATCACTGGTTAATTATATGCTTGAATAATACACAGAACGGCATAGATGATATAATAGTTAGAAAACGAAAACACAGTAAATATTCAAATAAACGTTGTTGAACCATATCTCGTAATTTAGTCCACCACAAAAGTTCAATTAGTTTGATACAAAATCCGTAAGAGCGAGATTATGGTTTCAATTAAAAACATCATCTATGAGAAGTAACACTGTATGCAACCATATTTGGTCTCAACAATGATGTCTGAATATTACTTGCTCTTTTTACTTTCTTTTGCATAATCATTCATTAGTCCCTCGACATCCTTCCAGAAAAGGCCCTCTACTAAAACACCATCTTTGGTGAACCTGCAACAATACGTGATCGATCAGTAGCCAAAAAACAAACAGTACAAAATTGAGATAAACAAACATGAAATTTTATTTATTTTCTGGCAGCAGAATCCAGAAATTACCACTGGGTCACGCTTTTGGTGAATTCAACAGGCGGTTTCGCGGATATCGATTTGGGGTCGGCACTAGCTATGGTGAGTGAGTATAAATCTGAAAATCTTGGTAGCTTTGAAGTTATGATTAAGCCAGTCGCGTTGAATGAGTCCTGTAGAGTAGAAAAATGCCATAAATATTTAAAAGTTTCTCTAAAAGATCTAGTTACAAAAACCATCATGATCATCATAATACAAAATCCCTACGAGGCACACAGTAAAAGAGAAAAAAAAATGTCAACATAGGCATATATGTATGTGTAATTAGGCTAGAATGCCAGTGCTAAAAAAAGGCTTGCAGAGAGATGAGGCAACAACGCTCCTATTTGCCTAGGCGTGAGGAGTGAGGCAAGGTGCTCGCCTTATTGAAGCAAGGCGAGCCATTCCAGAATTAGAGATTCTACACCCCCCTTAGAGAAATATTAGTCTTAGTTTAACATCCCAATTAGTCCAAAAAATAAAAATAAAAAAATCCTACTTTAATCACCAGGAGCAACAACGTATTAGAAAATTAGTCCGAATTTGACTTCCAAACCAACCACTTTAGACCAAAGCTAGCCAAGCAATGTTTAGAAAATGAAATACCGGGGCAAGGAAAAGGGAGAAAAGAAAAGAATAGCAGAATAACAGTGCATATGGCAGCAGCGCCAAAGTCAATAACCGGGCAGGGGAAATAAAGAAAGTCAAAGAAAAAAACATGTAACCCTTAGTGTTCAGTGTTCAGTGTTCCGGTCACTGATCAGTTGAAGAAAAGGCGCAAAATAATTTAGGGTTTTGTTGGAGAAATTAGGAGTAATTGATAAATATCAGCAAAAGCCCATAACCTAATAACAAAAAATACACCTCCGTGCTTCGGGTGTATGTAACGTGCATCACCACACGTAAGGCGAGTGCCTTGGGGAAACCTTTCGCAAGTGTGCCTCTCCACAGATACACGAGGCACCCAGGCTTCACCACATCTCATGCATGGCATCGCATTCTTAATAACTGAGTAACCCAATATAAGAAATCACCTAAAAACATGTAACTGGTCATATAAAACCAAATTAACATGATTTAGATTCAAAAAGAAATTTCCTGACAAAGAAACTCATTATCAATGCAATAATCGGTAACTATGTCAGACTGTGGTACCTGGTAAGCTAAGGTAAAAAAAAAAAAAAAAAAAAAAAAAAAAAAAAAAAACGTAGTAAATCTAAGCTTCCAGTGACATGCAGCAAGTAGTCTGATTCTTAGATGAGTTTATTATCATGTATCTCATAAATATTTACTACAAAAGGATCAGTATAGTGGTATTGGAGCCTCTGCCATCGGCCCATCGTGCTATTGTTTGTTTACCATTCAGCAATATAGATTAAAATCCTCAAATTTAATTTAAAAGCAAAGTCAACATATGAAAACAAATTTGTGATGTAATGGTGCCAATTGCACCAAACCCGACAACTATCTTTGCCTTGACCTGCAATACATACAATATACCCCAACAAGAGTTTTCATTACCAAAGCAAAAGGTACAGACAATGGTGCTAATAATTAACATCATTCATTAAAAGAACCATTGTAATCAGGAAAAAAGCTTTACAACTGAGAAAGAGTTATGTAAAGAAATATTCGACCCGACATAGACCAGTGCATACAATTGTCGACAGAAAACTTCTATAACTTCAAGGCCTTTAAACTTTTATTATGTTTTAGGGTGATCAAAACTTTGTCACAATTCCACAAGAAAGTAGATCACTTAATTTGGATATGATTGGATTGAAGATTTTTTTTTTCTTGAAATTTTTGTAAGAAAAAAGATAGAAAAGTGGATAAAGGTTTTTTAAAAAAAAAAAGTAAGACAGATTTGAGATTGTGAATTGTATTGAGGTAAAAATATAATGACTTCATGAGATATAAAATAATTGAATATTGATAGTGATTTGGTAGATAGAAATATATTAGCTGGTGAAGTGGTTTTTTGTTTATAATAATAATAATAATAAGAATAATAATAATAATGTTGTTTTTTTTTGTTAATATTAATTAATAATAATAATAATAATAATAATAATAATAATAATAATAATAATAATAATAATAATAATAATAATAATAATAATAATAATAATAATAATGTTTGATGTCTACCGTATAATTACGTTAGCAGGACTGTAGAGAAAAAAGTGAAATGAGATGAAATTGATTTTTTTTTGTTTCAGTTCACTTTTTTGTTTCAGTTCACATTTCAGTGAGATAAATATTGACCGACGACACAAAAATGAAATATTTCCATATCCAATCATGCCCCAAGGACTGTAAATTGTTACATTATACTCCCAACGTGGTTAGACACTACTTTTTTCATCAGTGAAGAGAATTGACTTCCATAGAAGGGGTGAAACAAAAGCAAAACCCGACTTGGGAACATGATTATAAAGATAAAACATGAGCGCTCTAAGTTACCTAACAAAACATTAAAAGTCCCCACGAAGGTGATCACATCATACTCTACACCTAATCAAATTAAAGTAAGAAAAGACATTACAAGCATGGGTTACTTAGGCACCAAGCTGTAATTGCTGAATATAAAATAATATAATTTAGCAAGCCCAAACTTTATAATTAGAGATAGTTCATGTGACATGTATCCTTGTCTGCAATACAGGTACAACTTTCAATTTCCAAATTAAATTTCATCTAGCAGAGGGTTCAATATGCAAGATAAAATACTAGATAAAATACATATAAATGTGTTCCAACAGTGAAAAAGGCTACAAAATGTCAAAGAATCTCAGACATTGCTTCGCCGCAACAACATTTCAATTAACTTGTTGCTTTTACTTCGTCTATCAATCTTTTTAGGACTTAAGTAAGTTCACGCCTCAGAACAGAGGAGCCAGAAGGATACCAAAGGTTTATAACAACTTTTCTCAAATGGAAAGATCCTGAATTAAAAAGCTCATGTAGGTATTGAGAACAGAAAATCAGATTTTTAATCAAAAAGAGAAAAGAGAAAAGTGAACAGTTGAACCAGAAAGGATTGCCAGAATAAATACTAAACTGAATTATTAACGAGCTTTCCTCGACATTTACAGGTCCTAAAAGTCGCTATGCGCAATCTAGGCTGTGAATTGGGCCCTAGTGCCTAGGGTAAATAGGGCGCCTAGGCGGGATCCAGAAAATATTAATAAATTTATTTATATTTATCATCATATGATCATACATGATATATCATACATAATATACAAGATATATTATATATAATATATTAATTAATATGGTCAAATACAAGGATTACGCAGAATCTAATACATCATAATTATTGTATTAATTGTGATATAGTTACTAATATTTTTATTATATAATTAATATAAAACATCATGAGTAAAAATTAAAATTATTTTGATTTTTTAAAATTAAATTAAAAACTGAAAATAAAAAATATACGGGCACCTAGATGCCTAGGCCGACTCTTAGTACAGACTAAGACATAAATAAAATAACAATTTCTCAACTTCCGTGTAAAAGAAATCTGTGCAACTAATCATTCGCATGAGTCATGACCACTCTTCGAACATCAATCCAGTCACAGCAATAAAATCTTGAGCAAATAAATATGCTTAACTTCAGCAAATCTCAATAAGAAAAGGGTCTATAAATCTTCAATGACATGCCTTAACCCACAATCGATAGTAAGCATATCAGATTCATTTCTATCTATTTTCCCTTTCAAGACTTCAGCTCAGGAAGCTCAATAGCTTGATCAATGAATCCCCATCTCTTTAGTTCAAAAAGAAAACCATAGGATAAACTAGATTTGCATACAGAGGTCCCTTAATGTTTTCCTAGATTTGCATACAGAGGTCCCTGAATGTTTTCCTTACATGGAGAAAAAAAAAACAAACATCTTAAATATACACATACACCACGAGCAGCAAATAAATCTGGATAACATCAAATAGTGAAGTAATATAGTATATTAATCACCAATCATCACACATAAGAAACTAGCCAAAGAGATCACTAAAAATAATAGAAAACATCTAAACCCCGTGAAATTCACTATATGATGAAATTAATTAAGGGTTGAGAGTTAAGTTGTCCCTATTTTGAAAAATTGAAAAATAAATACAGATTGCAATTTGAATACTAATAGAATCGTACTAAAACTTATGGGAAAAAATTTTACTGTATTTATCCAGATTCCAAACTCACAGTCACGAAATAAAAATCAAATCATTTGGAAGTCGAGGAATGAGCCTTGTTTCATCAAGTGCAGTTGACACCTGAGCAATTAAATTTAACTGTTGGCCCCTTACCAACGTTATTAATGGCAGATAGCGGTACATGGCGGTTTGCCAAAATTCCTCCTTTGCGGCCGCCATGGCGGTCTATGGCGCCGCCATGACCGCCATCACTCACAAATTTTGCATAACGGATTGTCAAAAATCTGCCACGCCATACCGCCATGGCCGCCATTTGATAACACTGCCCCTTACACAGAGAAACGACTCTGACACATACACACCCTGTTACCAAAATGATCTACCATACATCTTTTGAAAATCTAATCACAGCAATGCACGATGTATTGGGCAGGTCGTGGTTCACACAAGGAAAAGGAATGAGGAATCCGTGAGAGATCTCAATGAATAATATTCAAATAATCCAACTCCGAGTCGCCTCCGAAGTAAAATCATATTTTCTACTAGTTTCAGAACAGTACCGAGAGTCTAACAAGTAATTAATGATGGAAAAATACACAAAGAAAATCCTTAAGAAAAAAAAAATGTTCAACTATCTAAATAACAGTGACAAATGAATGGAGGAAAATAACAGTGACAAATGAATGGAGGAAAATAACAGTGACAAATGAATCTAATGCAGATTGAACACCAACCAATATCAATTATCTAAATACTAACAACTCCCTCATGCTATTACACAGGTCAAAGAAAGTACACTGGAAACTTACCGGTGGAGGATATGTGAACAAGATCGCATTTTTTTCCTTGAGGTAGATAATCAGTTGCAATATCCCATTGAATATCACATACTTGCCAGCGTCAAAGATCAAACAACAAAAACACTGCAGTAATTGATAATACATGAACCCGAAAAGATGAATCAATAAATTGGCAGCCTAATTATCACAAACGTCACACCGCACTTTAACAAAAATTTCAATGTCCTCAAGTTTCAACACTCTAAACTTACCACAAAATCATCCAGGCGTTTCATTTTTCCAATTATTCAAGATCTCAAAATTCTTATAATTTTCCCCAAAAACCACAGACGCTAATGTATTTTATTTTCTCAAAACCACTATCCAGGTAAGATGATGTTTTCACATTCAAACCATAAATTTGTCTGATACGCTAAAATTGACAATTATTTTCATTAGAAAATAAACTCATTTTTCCATATCTCCCATTGAGAAGTCAGGACCAAAAACAAATAAAAAGGATATAATGCAATGCAACCGATGAGGAAATTGCGATTCTCCGGAAACTTCTTGTTGTAGAACTGGGCAAAAAGCGCGATCACAATTATGATCGCCCCAAGAAACAACCGAATGTTACTCAGCCTAACATCCTCTGGATATCCTTTGCTAGTCACGATCTGGCAAAAGAAGAACAAATCAAAACCATGGACCAATTTTGTCCCTCCAACAATAAACAACCGAACCAGAATTTTCGATAGCAGAATAAAAATTAATTACAGAGTGAGAGTGTCTTTCGTAAAAACCAACCTCGGTAACTGATTCATCCAAAACGTGTTTGATAGAGTGATGATCCAAGAGATTGGCCTTCTTAGGATTTTTGTTGGAGGCTGTTTCCCCTTTCTTCTCCTGCATTTTTCGACTCCTAGGGTTTTCTTGTCCCAAGTTTCACAAGACTGAACAAGAAAAGGGACGACGCTGCGGCCACAAGACTTTAGTTATATTCAGGTTTGTGGAGTGAAAGTTAGCTTGTCCAAACAACAATGGGCTTCATTAGTATATTAGAACTCTATTGGACCAAAACCGGCCCATCAATAATAGAAATTTACTAATTTGATTATATATATATATATATTTTCAAATTGATGATACTTTTATATTATTTTTTATAATATATCAAATTAATCATATCTTTGTGAGATTAGATTTGACATCTATATTTTTCATACAAACTAAATAAATAATTATGTTTATTCATATAATAAAAAATAGATTATCTATTAATATTAATTAGAAAAATATAAATTATTTAAACTTTTTTAACTACGAAGTAGTTATATGATATAAGTTCAAAAATTATGATAATATAATATGATAAGTTGTATAAATTATGGGTTTTATTTTAAATATAAATGATAATGATATAATTTTTCAAAAAAAAGGTATTTGAAAATTATAAATATTTTTATTTTATATTCAATATAAATCTATTAATATATTACAAGGTGAAGCATTTACCTTAAATAGTAGTTAAAATCATGACTAATAAATTATTTTTACTAATAATAGATTTTATTAATAAACAGATTCGATCAACTATTTAAATGTGTAATATTACGGATTGAGACAGGATTAAGGTGGTTTTATTGATAGAATACGACGTTTGTCTAAGGAGTTACAAGTCGATATTTCGAACACGAGGTCAGTTTTTGTTTACACTGGAGTCAGTTTCTGGCTAGAACCGAGGTGGTAAATTCGGTATTTAATGTGTCCGAAAAGATCCTCGTATTAAGTTTAATTCTTCTATTTATAGTAACTGTCGGCCCGTCTTTTGAGGAGATTCGGCGGCATTTAATGCTGAATGACAGCATAGGCGCAGCTTTTCTAGTTAGTGGGCCCTCTAGCAATGATGCCTTCAAGTGGGTCGCGACATCTGATGGACAGACATTTAATGCGGTCCGCGGCAACTAACGTCGGCTCATAGAGATCGAGACTGATATAGCCATATAGATATATCGGCCCGAAGGCTCTCTACTCGACCTTAGAATAAATGAAAACGCCCGAGTTCTGGACGTGCCCTCATCGACATTCTCGAGTCGAGCTCTTCAAAGTCGACTCTTCAACGAGGTGACAAGACGGATTTCATACAAGTCGACATCTAGAAGTCGACCCTGTTCAGTCGACTCCATGATAGTCGACATTCATCTGAGTAGCAAAAGTGTAGCCACTAAGCCAGATCCCAGGACAAATCATTCTTACTCGATGTCGACTCTTCACATCTCGAGACATAAGGCATGCTGACAACTCCACATACTTGATATATCCATTGGAACCTCTTGTCCTCTCAAGGATAAGAAGAAATCTTGGTATGACTCAGCAAGGAGGGGAGACGAATCGACAGGGGCAATTTGGACCTTTCAGGTCCACCGATTGGGGCATTTTGGGTATCTCAAGTAAGTTTTCCCTTCTATATAAAGGAGAAGAGATAGCCCTAAACCCTAACTCCCGTTCATTCCATATTCTCCTCTTCTGCTGCTGCTGCTCTCTGAGAGCAGCCTCTCTTCATCTGTCTCATATACTGACTTGAGCGTCGGAGGCTTTATGCCGGAAACAACTACGGCGTTGAGTTTTTGTAGGTATTCTCGCGGTCCAACAACGGTTCGAAGGCGATTTAGGCAGATCTGGGCTCATTTCCACCGGTTCGCTCTAGATCTGAGAGCAGACCCATCAGAGACTTAATCGAAGTTGGTTTTTATGGAGGTCGGTTCCCTCAGATCGGCGAATATTCTTCTTCTCAATTTGGCGCGCCCCTTCTCCTTCCTAGCGGGCCACGTGTCGTCAATCCAACTTATGAGATGATTTCGATGTCAACATAGAGGCCCCTGGCATTTAGTGACACATGGATTTATGGTGTCTTTTAATGTCATACCTCCTTTTGACGACGTGCCCACTAAGGCGATTCCAACCGACCTCTGGCCCTTAACCGAAATTCTAATTGCGTAAGAGTGAGGTCACTCTTCTTTTGAAACGGCGCGTGATCTCATGAAACGACGCATCTGTTGCTCTCCATCCTAGACGGTTACACCTATTTATGACATGTTCCCATGTTCTCCACGTGTATTTACGGGGGTTGCATGAACTGTCATTTTCTTCAATCGTGACGGTTTTAAATGTCAGTTCCTTCCCAACGATCGCAAAGCTCTCATATAAATACTCATCCCCTCATTCATTCAAAGGTATCCACTTGACTTTCTAAATTTTCTGTTATCTCCTTCTTATTCTTGTCTCTATGCTTTTCCAATTTCTGTTATCCCGTACCCCGACGTTAAGTCATCTGTCTACGGTGAGTTCCATTGTTTTCATCCTTTCTATTTTTATTATTTTGTTTTGTTTCCCGGGATTCCGTCAATTCCTGGGAGATGGCGGAACAAGCGGCGACGAGTAGCAGCAGAAAAATCTCCGACGAGGCAGTTTGCGGGGTGGTTTCCAACGAGGAGGTCGATTTGGACTTAGCGTTGGGTTACTTTCGCTGGAATCCGGTGTTGGCCGAACATTTGGTTTTGCGGAGGAATAATCATTAGGGAAACGTCGAGGTTGAAAAGGATCTACCTGTGCGCGAGGGTTATTGGAACCATCCCCCTTGGCGTTGGCCCGACGTCGACGCAGTCTTCCCCGGTGAACCCAGCACGATGCATGATGCCAACGTGGTTTTGCTGAGGATGTCGGCTCGGGTTCTCCCCCTCTGTGAGGATGTTCTCCCCCTATCCCGGGGAGAGGATTCACTCTCCTCCTCCCGGCTGTGTAGGAATTTTTGTCGAGAGTATTAGATCGGGGCTGAGGTTTTCTCTTCCCAACATGATTACTGACTATCTCCGGCACTGGAGCATCAGAATAAGCCAGATTACACCGAACATCTGGAAGAAGATTATTGGTCTAATGGTCCTTTGAGTCCATAAAGGGTTGCCATTCCCCTCCATCGATGAATTCCGGAGCATTTTATTTTTCAAGCGAAGTCAGGAACGCAAGGGCGTACTGCATTCCGGTTGCTTTTTCTGTGCCGCCAAGACGCAGAGCAAATTGAAAGCTGGCAAATTGATCACCGGATATCCCGACACGTTACATGGCTTCTAGGAGGAGTGGTTTTGGGTCGGCGGTGACTGAGAGTCAGCCGACTTTCGTTTGGAGCCGAAAATTGAAGGGATGACCATCCCTAACCGCGCAGTTTCTTCTTGTAGTAAGTTACTTTTCTCGTCCATCTCGGTACCTCCTAACTGGTGGTTTTTTTCTTTCGCTAACAGGTAGGAACTTTTGGTATTTGTAGCTAGAAGGAAGAAGGAACCCAAGCTTAGCGACGAGTTCGAGGAGAGACTCAAAGACCTTACTAAGGTTGACTATTCTGATCGTGGGTGGTGCAAGTTGTTGAAGGAGACGGAGTTGGCGAAAGCGGAGCTATCTGCACCCCGACCGTTCAAAGTGATCACTACCTATTCCAATGATTTTCTTTGGCGCGGGCTTCCAGTTTACTATCCCATCCTCGGTTTCTTTGGCTTTAAGTCGATCGAAGAAGCTGAAGTTTTTCGACGCAAATTCCCAAATACCGACATCCAACTCAAGTTCAGGAAGGATATAGAGATGGGTCGCTTGAAGTTTCTGCAAGGTGTGAAGGACACCGCCTCTGGCCGAGGTGCTGCTGCTACTGGTACCGACGTCAAACTGGTACCCCCGACAGAGGAGCCAAAGCCAGTTCAGACGTCGGGACTCGATTCGACTGCCGACCAAATCTGAGGGACCGACCTGGTTGTGGCAACCGCCATTTGCACGGCCCCCGAGGAGGAAGAGGCTGCTGAGGTCCCCTCCCCCC